CTGTCTTGGGCATTTTTTGTCGAGAACATAAGTTTAAAAAGAATTCTTCATTTCGCGTGATGGTTTTTCTGATTCGAACCGCAGAACTCATCATCAGTTTTGGCGTTCAACTAGACACAAACACTTTATGATAACGAAGACATGAAAAACAAAAATCTCGCACAAGTTCCACTAACATACCATTTGGAGATAGAAAACTGTACGTGTGACTGTTTCCAACTATAGTTGTTTTTTCTTTGTTTGTGTTTGCAATTATTTACGTTTTCTATTTAATCAGTCAAAACACTCTCACTTAAATCATGTTGGATGGACAAACCAAACACGACTCAGTTGCGCATTTTTCGTCAGTTGCGCACTTTTCGTCATCGTGGTAGGTCGTGTCTAATACGGCTCTGGTATTGATTTTCTGGTATTCTACTACTACTATTATCGATTACTGGTATTTGTCATCGTTTTCAGCCGTGGATAATATAGGTATCGATTGTTAGAAATTATTATTGTTTCCTCTACCGTTTCTTATTTTTCTCATATTGCTGCTTCCTCAATCATCACTATTGCGCCTATTATGTCTCAATCTGATGCCGATCTCGCTTGTCTCAAAACCCTTGTTCTCAATCTCACCAACGTAGTTAACGAACTCAAAAATACTTTTTCGGATTTTCCTAAGGCTGTTACCGATTTAGCTAATAATGTTCGTACTGTACAATGTACTGTTTCTTCTCATGATACCAAAATACTCCAGCTGGAAGATAAAATGGAAAAACTAGCTGAACATGTTTCAAAGCTCTCTTCTCTGCCTCAAACCACTTCATCTTATTCTCAACACACCACATTTTCCGATGTGGTGAAATTCCGTGCTGAAGAAGAGAAATTTTCTTCGCGTTCTGTTCGTGCTCTTTGGTTTAAAGTACAACCTAGCTCTATATCCTCTGTCACTAAGCTTAAAAAAATCATTTCTGATATTTTTGTGCTTTCCAAAGACCAGGTTGTTATTGATCTTTTCAAGAATGACCATATCTCTTGTCAGCATGCTGCTAGCCAGTCTGGCAACCCACCTATTATTATTACTTGTCCTTCCAAAGATGTGCGCGATAAAGTTGTTGCATACATTCGCAAGTTCAAGCATGATATTCATCCTGATTTCAAAAAAACATTTGTCCGAAGAGATTATCTTCCCAGCGAAATCAACCTGGAACGTGATCTTCGTAATCAATGCAAAACTCTCAACGTAGCACATCCCGACTTAGCTCATTTTGTAAGAGATTTCAAAATAGTCTCAAAACCCAGGACTATCCCTGCTTCCGAACCCCATTCGGCCAACCCTATTGCTTCTACTGTGGTCCTTGATGCTTCCGCACACAGACCCATTTTATCGCTACCTGCTCTCTCCTCTCCTCCTATTGTTGTCTCCACTCCTCGTTCTGGTGTTGCTAATCCGTCTTCTGATAGTAATAGTGGTAATGCCTCTGAACCAAGCTCCAAAGTTACTAAAATGGCAAATGGTTCTCGCAACATTCCCTCTTCTCAGCCTACTGTTGTTTCCTCTGAAGTTTCTGATCGTGACAGGTTTAGAAAAACTCAGAATGTACGTCGCTCAATGTCTCTGCCCCGCTCCACCAAGGCCAATTTACAGGCCATTTCCTCAGCTATTGGTCTCACTTCTTTTCGTAAGTGA